TTCCGTCACAAAGTACAATCATCACTAATGTGTATATATCTTTCTCGTGTTCTCAGACGGAAATTTCTGCTTTCTTTGATTCCTATATCCCGTTTCTAGTTTCAATAGTGGATGAAAATCTTCAGTTGTTGATGATTTCAATCATGCAAGCGTTTCTCTCCTGCTTCCACTTGGTCCATCTGACATTTCTCATTCTTTCATGTGGGTAATGGAGGATTTGGTTAAGTTTCAAATAACAATTCTCGTGTATATAGCAAATGAAGCGTGAACTGAAAAGCTCGGAAGCACTGGACAGCTGTTTCGACCTGGTTGGGTCTCATCAGCAGTGCGAATCCATCGACCCGACTGGGGATCTCATTCTCCTACCAGAGGTAGTTCAGTGCTGGATAGAGTGATCACAAACCATCCCAACTTATTCTCTCTGAAACTAATGACCCTAGTCTCTCCCAGTGACCACAGTATTCTCCTTGTTAGATCAAAGATATACTGTCGCACCGCTTATCAAGTGCTCATACGTTCCACTTAGATAAAATTTCATCTAAAGAACTTTTCACCCAACTGTATCTCTCTTCTTAACCGTTCTCTTTGGAATGTTCAGTCTTGTTTTGATTCTTGTCCATCGCTTTTTCAATGTATCTGTCCACTAAAACTATTAAATCAATCTTTAACTTGTGTTGCCCCATGAAAACCCTGTTTATCTCTGACGGCAAAATTACCTCATCCTTTTTGAACTCGCTGACAAGCCACTAATAAAAGGCCTATAATGCTCGCCACACATCAATTGTAAAGCACTATTCTGATTAAATCAGGTCTCATATGGCGTATCTAAATGCATTCTTCACTGCCCAAATTCTGCGAACAAAGAACACCAGGCTTTTATGGCAAATTATTCGCCTTCTCTGTGGAAAGAACAGAAAACACTCGAAATACCCCGGTGGACATCAACAGCCTTAATACCGCTGTCATCCGCCCGTCAAATGAGAGCCAGATTTCCTCATGCCCATGCAATGAATCCAGTTCAGTGCTTTTTTCCAATGATTAAATCTTTAAGCTTCTTCGATCCTGAACTGCAGACCCTAATGGTCTTCCTCCCGCACTTCGGGGCAGCTTTCCTGACCAATTTGATGACAACCGTCATAAATGAGTCCTTATCTTCCCGGTCGATTCCTGGCGTCAAGTTATCATTATTCCAATCCTCAAATCTTCATCCTCAACTGTTCTTGCGAAACGGTCTCGTCCTATCGCGCTGACCTCCGAGGCTGTAAGGTTGACTGAAATTACACAATCCCTTACGGTCCCCCTTCAGTTTGCATAGAAACCCAACAGACCTACACTGGACGCCACTGTAATTCATTTTATCAATAAGTCATTGAATAATTCGATCAAGTCTGTCCGTTGTGTTTTTCTTGACTATTTGTCCGCGTTTGATTCTATTTCTCGAGCATCCCCTCTTTGCAAACTTGAATCTTTGGGCACTCCGGGACAGCTGCTCTTATGGCTTGCTGACTATTTCACAGAGAGGAAGGAGGACATCAAACCTCCCGTTAATAATTCTGGTGTTCTTCAAGGTGCTGTTCCATCTCTATCTTTTTCTGCATTTATTAGTGATCTTTCGGTGTCACCTCTTGCGCACATCCAAAAATATGCCGATGATGTCGTTTCATGTCAGTAAATTTCATCTCCTTCGGAATTTCATTCTTTCACTGAAAATCTACCCCACATGCAACTGTTTTCCAACCAATCTGGTCTCAGTCCTAACATATCTAAGTGCTTAGAGTGTATCTTCAGTCTTTTCCGCTCCCCGTTTTCAACGGACTCTGCTACCCTTAACTGTAAACTTGTATCCAGAATGACCTCAGTCAAATACCAGGGTGTCACTATCGACAGCAATGTTCATTGGTTCACAAATGTGTACAGTTGTGTGGGAAAACTAAGACGCCTGTCTTTTCAGTTATGCCAACCCAGGTAATTCCGAACCCCGCAGTCAGTCCTGTCCTCTTTCGTTCACCAGTGGGTTTATCCATTCTACTCCTCCCCTGTAGTGTTTTCTTGTCTTTTAAAACAAGAGTTCCAAACAAATCATCGTGGTTTGATGATCATCAGTCGTGCATCGTTAGTTCCGATCAATTCAATAATCACAGAACTCATTACTGGTCACATCAACTGTTGTAATAATTTTGCCAATAAGGTTCTAGATGACGCTCTTCATCCACTGCATCCCGATCTATTATCATTTCTTTCCCATCCGTCCACACGCTCCTCATTTCGGCATATACCCTCTCGCATTAAAATTTATAAAAATTCTCAGGTCGAAAGTGAACCACGTCAAAAGTTTTGGACATCAAACAAACTTCAGAGACATTCTTCACCTTGCATGTTATATGTAACAGTTTATTTATTCCGCGTGACGAACCGTCTACATTTTTAACTGAAATGTAAGCATATAAGCTTACCCAAATTATACAACTACAAATGTGTTCACGCATCTAGACGCAGGATGCGATTACTTGATTTGACGGTCAATTGTGATAGAACTAAATCGTTCATTTAGTGTTGAGCTCACATTTCACAGACTATGATGCATCCACCATTGTTTCTACAGCTATGCATGTTGTGCCACACAGTCATACGTTAGGATTACTCCTATCGCAGTAAACTTGAAAAATCCGGCAAACAATGACTGATGATCATCAGATATAGCAAGCGTTGGTTATTGACTGTCCAGATGCGCACAAACCCGTTTTTTAATGACACCTCAGTGTGGTAAACAGGGCAAGAAATAAATCCTATAGTCACTAAAACCTGTTGTTCTTTTACGGAAGCCAGCTACTTAAGTCCCGTAATCTAAACAAGCTGAAAAAGTAGGCTTCAATAGACCAGGTGTGATAATGGTCCAAAGGGCAGCGCAACTACGATGCAATGGCCCTAGAAGGCCTTCAGGGTTTCCTAGAAGCTGATTCAAACCAAACCGCACAAACCATTTCGTATATCAAGCTAAGCTGATTGACCCAAAGTTGGATGATGGTGTCAGGATTTGAATCTCGAAGATTGAAACCCGTAACATACCATTTATAGCGACTAGAACTGCTCGACTACNTACCATTACGGAATGACCTTTGTTGTCGAATTTACCACTAAATGTCGACCTGATAAATGTTTCTTAATGCCGCCAATTGCTTTCATCAATAAATCCGTCTTGAACATTTCCGTTTTTTTATCGCGTACTACGCGTGATAATAGTTCTTTTTGCTGCACAAAACCGATGCAGTTTCGCTGATCAACAAGGAAAGTAGAGATCATGCTGTTGGTGCTTAGGGTTGTCCCAAGTAGACACTCGTTTTTGGTTTCCGTCTTCCCGGTCCCGTAGGTCTTGGAATCTCTTCTGTGTTCGTTTGACCTACTAGACGCTCAGGCGTTTGTTTAGGGCCACACGATCTTTATCGAATTTCATTTGACTCTACATGTTTGCTCCCACTACGCCGTTTGTGATCCACCTGTTATTTTGTCGGAATGAAACAGCTTCTCTGAAACCGTAGTGTTCGCATCATATACTTGGTTCTTTTTGGCGTAACCTATCGCATTAAGACCACATATCCATGCACAACAATATCCCCTTGCATAGTGAAACGCTTGCAAATAAATTGCTCAGTTCAGGAATCTAATTTTATTGATTGATAGTCACATTCACTGGGTTCCATCTGGTATTCACCGTCGACAGATATGTAGCTGAATTCGATGAATCTAGATTCCCAAGTGGCCTTTCATGATTGGCACTGCCTTTGTTGCTTCCGCTAATGATCTGACCGTTTGCCTTTTGTCATAGTTCACTTTTGGGCGTTACCCTTTCCATAGAGCGATAATGATGTGGTGACTTATATTGTGTGAATGCCTGGACCGCATCGTTTATACGGACTTTGCTAAATGATCCAATTTTTGTAATATCGTGTAGGGTGATCTGGTGAGCGAGTTGCACCGTGCATGCCATGTTGACTGTAGGCATCAATTTTGTTAAACCTTACCAAGTACGTAATCGATTGTTGACGTCATCAGACAACAGTTTGTGACGTCGTAGGCCGGCTTCTTTCAAATGTGAGTTTGAAGAATCAAGCGTATCAGAATGGATTCACCTTATAACAGTGCGTTTCCAAAAGATTACAGACAAACGTAATAAAGCTACACGGATTGAAATAAGTTTGAGAAAATAACTATTTATTAACATCTGTTCATTTACAGATCGATCTAAACTCTTTTATTGGTCATCACAAAGATTTCTATCGCTTTTGAATGCATTTAGCTGGTGGAGAATTGACGATCCATCAAGGAGTGAAACCCGCACCCAAGATCATCAACGGTACCGGGTGCCTGTGACCAGCCGAATGGCCTAATCCAAACGCTCACCTTCCAAAATGTTTCATATTCCCCATGCTAGCTTCGAGAACAAACTAGACCCTTCGAAGTACAGAATCTTAGTAGAATCCAAACAGCTGTTGTGGAATATTTCTGAAGACAAACGTCCAAGGAGTTGATAAGGGATATTATGATCTCCGCCGCAGAAGCTTCCCCAGGTGCATCAGATTTTTGTTTCCAAAGCCTCTAAGGAATTTGTTGCATTTCCGGCTCGGTCAGTAGTGTAAACATCATGTCCGTTTGCATAAAGAATTAGATGTCATATGTTCCGGACCCTCATCGCATCTATGAACCTCACCTGATACAACACTCTAGACATTAACGAGTGCACTACTTTTGCTTATCTAAGCTGTGAATGTTCCACGACAGAAACTTGCACATATCGACCGAATGCTTTTTGTACTGTTTGCGCAAAAACGTTTTGTTCTATGTGGCTATCGTCGGATTACCTGACCGTAGGTGCACTTCTCTTTTTTATACACTGATCATGTGCTATCCTGCTAACCTCATAGATAGAGTAGGAGTCGTGAGGATTTTGTCATAAATTGTGTATTTACTTCTTACCGTTTTTGCTTATTTTTATGTTGTTGCAGGGGAATCGTCTCACTAAAATTGCAGGTTTAGACAAACTGGTCAATTTGGAACAACTGTACCTGAGTGAGAACGGAATAACAGAAATCGGTGGACTGGACAACCTGCTAAAACTACAGATCCTCGATCTAGCATACAACTTTATCACCAAAATCGAGAACCTGTCGCATTTGACCGAACTGGAAGAGTTCTGGTTCAACGACAATAAAGTAAGCAGTTGGGACCAAATAGAACACCTACGAACGCTGAAAAGTTTACGTACGCTTTACATGGAACGTAACCCGATTTACTTTACCGACAGCGAGCGTACTAAACACGATCCGGCCTACCGACGCAAGATCATGCTCGCACTGCCGAACTTGCGACAGCTGGATGCAAATTTAACTGGTGTTGGCTTGTAATGTGTGAATGCATCCATGCAGTAATCTCGATCGCTTGTGGATCTTTCCTACATATGGGTATCGCACCTTCAGTAAACCGTGCCCCGTGGTTCACAATTCTTTCTCAAGCCCTGCTCGCACACACTGGCGCCAATTGAGCTTGCCGACCTCCTTGGGAAGTTGACCCCTTGAACGTGTATATACAGAAAGAACATATTGTTGTCTACCATTTTCCTGCATCTCTGCTTGTCAGTTTCAACTGTGTTTCAATCAGTGCTGCACGAATTTGCCTTTAACCAAAATAGCACTTGTGAAGCAAGACTAACGGTCTTCGCTCCGCTCCTATTGATCTAGAGAAAAGATACCGATTACAATTCCCGTTCTATTGCACTTCACGCGTTTTAGCACACATCAGTGATGCAAATTCCTATCAGAGTTCAGGTGATGAATGGAATTCAAAGTATCTGACTGGAATTGCATGTAAAGCGAGTAATCGTGATGTCCTTACAGCACGAAGTGCGTCTATCCGAGGGACGGTAGATTTATATAGACTGTGGCTGGTTGAGACCGAGATAACGTCTAAAACTGATATTCTAAAAATGCTTCGGAACACTGCATCTGGTAGCGTGATATCAATAGTGCTTCAATATTTGGTTCCCAGCACAGCAGAGGTATTAGACAGTACCGTGACAGACTGTTTAGTTTATCATCTGCGTGCGATATTAAAGCTATTAGTAACTGGACACAATAGACTAAATCGGGGCTGGTGGTGGCATATCACTTCCGGTTCCCATCATCAAAACTCCAGTAATCCCTAGCACATGATGAAAACCCCACAGTTAGTTTCAAAAAACGTCAAATTCTAGTTACTGGCATGCAATCACTTTTTACCATTAGGTTTAGTCCGTAGTGGTCTTCGGATTACCCCAGAGGCTTTACCCCTTGATCTGGGTTGTCTCATCTATTGCGCGATTTATCGGGTTTGGCAGCTAACGAAAGTCTCAGCTTCCTGGAGCCACAGATGAGGGATAAAGTTAAGTTATGCTGTTCCTATCAGATACTTCGTCAGGCCCGATATGATGTTAGAACCCGAAGCCCCGGGTTTAAGAGTCGTGTTCTACCACCTCGGTCAGCCGGGTATACCATTATCAGTTTGCTTGTTGTCCAATGACTTTCGTAGTTAAGGTACTCTTTCAGGGCCACTTCAAATCTTACGATTTTGTTTCCACAGAAGAACTCGAAGTTCACATTGGCGGTCAATTTTGGTTTTCTCTTTATTTTTTAAAAGAACTGTTGAAATGAAGAGAGGAGATCGAAAACTGAAATTTTGTACACCAGGTGGAAAGAAAGATACAAATCTGTACAGTCAAAAGTCATGAACTAGTTCTAACAGTCATCTAACATAAGATCGGATAAATCCGGCATGCCCAGACCACGTTCAGCAAACAACTGAGCCCGCTTCTTCGCCAACGCTTTCCGAGAGGCTAGCTCCTGTGCCTGCAGTTCATGAATTTCTTTCTCCGAAACCCGTTCCAATATCTCCTCCACATTGGAATCGCTTTTCTGCAAAAAGAATCAAGTAAGATTATGGGACTGACACCCAGGAGGGAACGTAGTAATGAACACGAGTTAAAAATTTATTGGTCTTTTGACAACCATCAAATGCGAAGGACAGCATGGAGTCAAATAATCACCAGTATGTCATTCGTAAACTGTGTTCCCAAAACCACGGGGGGCGGTGAGTGTAGTGAGCGCCTGGGTTTTCGACACAACTGATAAAAGACTTCACCTGGTCGACTATGTGCACAAACTCCATACTTAGCAATGGTGCTCTCTAACCGCATGGAGTCGGAATGAAATCAATATAGACAAATATATACACGAACAGGAGCGATTGTGTGTGCGTACACGTTAGTGCACTAAATTCGTGTAAGGCGAATGACAAATGATGTTAGTAGTACCATTTGGTGGCGGGCATGAGCACACGGTAAAGTTATTACTTGATATGACTGCACTGGTGCCAATCCACCCTGACCGCAGTGAATGTAATGATCGGCGGTTTCGGTTGATATCGGTGAAAACAAAGAAGACAAGCAGGTTAGGGAACGGTCCAAATGATTGTTTGTAATCAACTGAGGGGGTGGATTTAATCTAGACTGGATCGTACAGTACTGGCCGATTGTGATGCACTAAAACATTTTCTTTATGATCAAATGGTGTTTCATTATATTTATCACCGGTATTAATACTTTAGTTATTGACAATAATTTATATCTTGTTTGCTTCGATCTACGTAGTTTCTAGTCTGCATAAGTGTCTGACCTTGACTGTCACGATTAAATGATCTGAATATGAAAACCACAAACTTTATCAAGTATGACAACGCAATATTTTCCAATAGGAACGACTCAAGAATTATCCCAAATTATTTCCGTAAACCCTTGCCATCTCGGTTATTTGTAATGGGGCATTATTTTACCTGATATATGATCCATTATAGCAACTCTCTTGGATAACCAAATGAAATTCTATCACAAACCAGAGAAATTGCATTAAATTTCATAATAATAATAATAATCTGTTTCATATCTACCTCACTGAATTCGAGAAATACCACTTTAATCAACCTTGAAATCAAGGTCATTTTTGCGCACAGCTTTGAATGTTCGTATTGTTGTCCTTTAATGAACTGAGCAGCGCTCAAATCCAAGTTCCCGCTATCTCATTGAAGAGGACAGAAACAGAATCACACGAGCGCACAAGCTGGGACTATCCATAGCAAATCTTTCCCAGTGCTTTAACGTTAACAAAAGCACAATTTACAGGAAAATCCATGGGAAAACAACTATCATAAAAGCTTGTGGGGGCTGTAAACCGAGTACATCTAAACAGAAGGACGACCTGATTCGTATTACTCTAAAAAAACATTGCAGAAAATCGTTGTCGTCTATCCAACGGGAAGATCTTCCCCGTCATTCATGCTCCCTTTTGCAAAGAGGAATGAAAAAAAATAAGATGCGTCCGGTTTCACCTGACGTCAAACCAGCATTGGGCCTACAGTAAAGGTAGGCGCGTATTGATTTTGCCCGAGAATTCAAATCTTGTCGTGCGTCATTTTGGCGATTGGTTTATTTCGCCGATGAGTGGTTTGCAACAAGCCTTGGAGGGCTCACAAAAAAGTCATTTGTGGTGAGAATTTCCCAAGAGGACTTATTCTACCAAATGAAAGAGTTTCTCATCCTTCGAGATAAAACATGATCAGTCTTGTCGATGGAAATCAGTTAAAGGCACCATGAATAGTGGAAAGTTCGTATCAGTAATGACAAACATGTTTCCAGAATTTCATAAAAAAATCGTCTGGAAAAGTTATTGTTTTTCAGAATAACGCTCCGTGTCATGTTTCACAGGAGGTTAGTAAATTTATTTAGTTAAATAGTCTGGTTCACTTATTATTTGCTTTTAGACTTCAGAAACGATGCGTGACTCCAAGGTCCAGTTCATGCACCTTCCTCCTAATAGCTCGGATCTCAACATGATTGAAATTCGTTTTCTATTTTGAAGATAGAGGTTAATGTGCTACCCATACATTGGACATTGGAGGCAAAAGTGCGATACGTAATGGAGCACAAAATAGAAAATGACTTCATAACAAAGTTGACAGATTCGATGCCGAAGAGACTCGGAAAAGTCCTAAAGAACAAAAACAGACTAATCGACTCCTAGTGTACACAAACTTTACATCTTGCTTATTATCAATGTTAATTTGTTGTAAATAAAGACTGTTCCATTCTCTTTAGTTACCTCTGAACTCATCATGGTCTAGGTCAACCAC